ACGTATTTCGATGTAATGTAACAATGTGCTTGGTTGGCAGATTGAGAAAGTTTGTTGTTGGCCCACTTATTACCCGGTTAGAACGCCAAAATTTCTTCATTGTTTTTTGCACAAATATTATTCATTTCCAAAAAAGTGCGCACACACCAAAATGTCTGCGCACACATACTACAAAAAATTAGAGGGAACATTGGTACTCACTCAAATGACAGCTGGGGGATGGATACTCTTAGTATCTGCTCCATCGCGTGCCTCTTACAGTCTTACCAGTTTACATGAGTGCCAATTGGTATCTAAGCTCAGCCAGAGACAAAATGTTCGGACTGCAGTTGGCGTGACGAAATGTTTTTAAATATATATATATTCTACAATAAGATTATTTGATTGCATACTACTGAAAGTTCCGCCTTATATGTCTTTTCCCATTGCACTATTCCTTTACTGATATTCGATAATATGACGCTCATCTGACATAGTTCTTAAAGTGTGTAGATGGGTATAATCTTTTCCACGCTGTTCAGATTGCTAATATTGGTTTGCAATGCGATGAAATCCCATCTTGGCATTTCTGCCTCTCGCAATTGCTGCGTATACTTATCGGGGAATTTCTCTGGCGTGGTTATCAAATGAAAAAAAAAACATGAGTATTTTTTCTACTTCTCTACTACTATCAAACCTTGACATTTTGTGAAAACTTTTTTCCATGCAACCTTTTTTAAAACATCCTCAACAACCACAATTAATTCTGTTATTAAACTCCCGAAACAAACACATAAAATCATCAACAGATGCATATCACCAAGTAGATATTGCGGAATTGATCTTTATTTTACCATTTTTCATGTAATTATTTTTGGTAAACCTGTTATCTATCGTAAATACAGCACTTTTGACAATGTTGTAGTGTGACTTTTTTGGCCTCTCATTTTTGATATTTGTAGTTAGAGCTCTTGGGGCTCTGTCAAACAAAGTTACATACAAAATATTGGTTGTAAATTGCAAAACATGATCATGTTTTGACCTGATGACCTGAACATAGTATTGTAACAGGGTATGGTTCGAGTTGTGCGTCATTATGATGCACATGTTTGACGGAAAACACTAGTACAAATATCTCAATGAATACCTAAAAATTATTGATTTTATTTCCTAGTAAATTTGGTGCTTGCATAGTTTGTGCACTAAGATTGCGCACAACCTGAACATAGTATTGTAACAGGCTATGGTGCAGGTTGTGCGTCATTATAATGTTCAGGTTTGACGAAAAACACTAATACCAATATCGAGCCGTAAAAAAATTGCTCAAGGCTGCAAACTCCACACCCGTGTAGAAATGATGGGCAATGACCCCAAGATGAATAATCACAAATAAAAAAAACTTTATGTCCGAAATCAAACTTGGGCCAAAAAGTTCCCCTCATCTGCCGGACTAATAGGCAATAGATGATATCCACATTGCGCGACGTTCCGGATCTTTTGAAATCAGTGGAATATAACTGAAGATCCATTTCGCTGTCTATACTATACGTACAGCCAACGGAACAATACGAAATACCCATTTTCAACAGTCAAACAAAACGGAAACGTATAATCCGACTTGCAACTGACAGTAGCCAAATGGACGTTTTTGTTTTATTGCCGTCCGTAACAAAGTCACGTGACCCGTGCAAGTCCTCTATACAGAATTCACCGTCATTGTTTTGAGTTTTTGTATCCTAAACCAATTTATCACTTTTTCAGCAATGCCTAATCAGTGTAGTTTTTCTTAGCTTTCATGGCTTCATGACTATCGTCGTCACTTTATTACATTGCACTCCCCACATTATCTTTGTATGAGGTTGTATTGGTCATTATCAATGTAAGTGTTAAAAGTACAGCAGTCCGAAAGTTCAATACTATCGCGTATTTTGTTTGTTCAATTCTGGTCCAAGCCCCGTTTAATTGTGTTTTGTGTGTGTGTGTGCTGGTGGACAGGCACATGATATTTCTCATGTTTTAAACTTCTTTGAAGATTTTGCTTGCTTTTCAGAATTCTCCATTTTTAATTTGTGTGTAATATGGAGTTTTCAAAATAAACTATCTATATTAATTGTAGTTATGTAGTCAAGTCAAGTTTATTTTTTCCAACCAGTAAAAAATATCACAATCATGATAAATTACGACATTTACGGCATTATCCAGTCCAATGAGCATATATATGCTCATTGTCCAGTCCAGTGGTTCTCAAGCTTTTTAAACCGCGCCCCTTTTTAGAATTTGTCCAGTCTCGCGGTCCACCTTAAAAATACGCCGATGAAAATGGTTTGAAAATTCACAGTGCAACATTACTCACATTTTTGTACACTTGCGCATATTTAACCCAGAATTCGCTGAGTGACATGGTTTCAAAGTCGTTTTTTGTATTAGAATTTTATTTCTAAAAATTCCTCTTGTCTTCAAATATTTTTTCTTTTAATTGGCTTCACGCCCCACAAAAATTGTCTACGCCCCTTCCAGTCTATTGTTAAAATGTGACTTTTATACTAACTATAGAAAAGGAAATTAATACACGGAACATGGTCGCTGAACAAAAAAATAGTAAAACCGTTTTTATGGCAGAATAGAAATGTCCCGAATGCAGAGAATTCAAGGATAAAATTCAAAGAGCCAAAATGGTGGGACTTATAATATTGTACTGGACCGAACAAGATATTGATACAGGCACGTTGATTCGCAGTTTGTTCAGTTTTTTAGGCAGACAAGTTGTTTTCGATGTAGAATTTTATTGGTAACAATAAAATCATATTACTCATAATCGTTTATAGATATATACAATACATTTACATAACTTTTTTTGCGGCGTTACTGAGTAGAATCGCATTCGTATAACAATACAATAACAAAAATTTGATACATTTTTATTAGTAGTCATCACAGCCAGCGCCTGTTTTATGAGATTTGATCTACAAACATCAAAGTGACTATAAAACTATAAAACCGGGTAAAATTAACCGGTTAACCGCCTCGTGACGTTTGACGTAATAATTTATAATTTCAGCTTGTTACGTCACAATGCTTGTAAAGCAAGTTCGCGTGGCCTTATCCCGGTATCGCCTATTAAAATTATTCACGAATCGAGATAGTTTCATGATTGCTCTGCTTCAAGAGATAGGCAACGTGGTTCGGGCGTGTTGAAGTATTTAGAAAACCTGATTCCGTTGTTAAACGACATTTATGTGACAAATTATCAGTGTTCGATGTGCAAATTTTACTTCGAGATATATATCATAAAGAAAAACGTCATCAACTGCGCACTTGTTGTATGACATTGAATATCCGATTTTGCGATGAAATCGTTAACAATATATTTCGAAATCGACCGAAAACTGATTCTGAATTCATCATTGTCAAATTTCCATAATTAGCAATTTTGGTACTTCAATTAATTTCCACATTTATTGAGTCTTTACCCACACAGTTAGTAATATTCTTTTGAATTAAATTCCACAAGAGATAAACTTGCGATGACGTAATCATATTTGAAGAAATTGTACGGTATGAAGATGATTTGTACCTGAGATGTCAGTTAACGGTTAAAATAAATCGTAACCGTTAAGCATCTGAAATCGGTTAACCGGTTAACCATTCCCAGCCCTAGTAGCCAGATAAAAACAAACACACATAAAACGCCACAATGTAAAGCTATCGTATTTGGTTATGTATTCAAACATGAACATTAATTTGCTTTAATGCAATGACGCAATATTCGATGATATAGTAATCATTATTACATCGTTAAGTGTAGCAAAAATCATCAATCACGGGGGGGAAGGGAATCACTGAAACATGTAGAGATGTTATCGAGCTGCCTACGACGCATCGCTGTTATTAAAATGTGTAAATATATAGGATACACCTGGTTTTATATACATGAGTCAAAAGTATATGGATGGCGGGGCATTGTAAAAGTTTTCTCTATCTATGTATGTTTAAAAAAAAACCAATTTTTTTTCTGGTAGAGCTAGAATTCATATATATATATATTAATTAAAAATTTCTTCTACTTCACGTGTCCGTAAACACGAACACTAATCAGATTTCTACTGATCGGGAATTCAATATTGTTGAAAATCCGAAGATCAATTAGTAATGGGTGTCTGGCCAAAATACAGTGTGCGCGAAATACCCACCTGCGCGAGTACGCGATGTTACATCTCGATATTCCCCATCGGCTAACTACGTAACCATTTTAAAATTCATTTTCACTTTTAATAATAAAACACTATTTTTAAGTAATAGTCAAATATTTACGGTTAAATAAATGTTCTCAGAAACGCAGAAATTTTCGGAGTAAATATACGTTAGCCATCATCTTCGTAATTTGAACCATCCCAAATAAAATTCAGATATAGCGAGCGCCACGATTCTTTTTATTTATTTAATTATTTCAAGTTTACTATTTCTAAGCTTGAATCGGCTTACTTTATGCGATATATAGGCACAAGTAATCCATAAATGTTTTTGCGCGTTATCTCTGAATTATCTAACTTGCTCTGAAGTGAGGCGATAATTGTTCTGCTCATCCTTGCGGAACCGAAGGCGAGGCGGGAAAGATCAAAAACTATTATTTTTGTTTTTAGTGAATGAATGAGAAGTTTGAGTAGGCAACCGTGTTTTTTTGCAAATGTACGGTACGGTACCCTGTAGTCTGGTAGTAGTCAGCTGACAATAGTCTTAACATTGCAGCACTATCCAGCTATCTTCTTGTCCAGAATAGTCTGTTTCTTACAATTTCAATGGTAATCAAATCTTGGAAATAAACCTGTATTTTCATTCTGTCATTTCAGCATTTGCACTTTCCCGACTCTGACCTGCTGAACAGTCGCCAGAATTTTATTTTGAAGTGAGGTTATTTTGATGGTCATGTCACAATAATCCCCAATCAGCCACTAGCTGACTAGTGACTGAATTTTCTTCAAATTAACCAAAATGTTTTATGAATTTTTGAAATGATATAGGCTATGGTACGTTACTGACGTTAACTTACCGGTATCCATTCTCATAGATAACCACGAAACTAGTTAGTATGTCTTTGAGTCATACTCCTGTTCGTACTCCTTTACGGGAGATCAATGTACCAGTGAATCAAACACCAAAGAGTGAAATTTCTAAACTCACACCTTTTAAAGCTGGTTGGACGCCGAAAACTTCACCAGGACCTGCTTTGTTGCTTGCTATTCGTTTATCAGCAAAGAAAGAACTAATAAAAAATTATCCATCACTGGAATACAAGGATATTGAAAATTGCGTTGAATCGAAATCTCCAAGCAATGTTATACATTTTCGGTAAGACGTGTACATTTAGGTAATTCGTTTTATGAAGAAATAATGGTATTTCATCAATCATTTATTTTGGTACTCTGACATAAAAACAACACAAAAACTGGACAAACAAACAAAATGCAGAGATAGGTACCTGGAGGGCAAGCATAACTTAAAATAAAGTTAAAAAACGTAAAAGTACGTGCCCGCCCACCAAAGTACGCGCCACTGTTGCAGCTATCTAGATAAATAGCCTATATATCAGTATGTTTTATCAATCCTTCGAATGGGATCTGTGATAGCCGAATGAAATAGTAGAAAAATCAGGTCTTGCAAAACGTAATCGTTTGTATTATTTGATAATTCTGTAATTTTGAATATGCCCAATCCAAATCATGCGCAATTTCCTGTTGCACAGCTGCTAATTAATTCATAATATTAAGTTAATGTTGCAGCAGTTGGATAGAAAATTCCACTGACCAATAAATTTACTAGAATGAAAATTCGTCTTACAAAAAGTTTATATAAATTAGTGGGAACTTGCTATCAACAGTAAACATTTTTAGTATAAACAACAGTTGCATGTAAGCTGAAGACCACAGTAATTGCAATAAAATGCATTGATTACATGCATGTTATTTACTTACAAACCCAGGCACCAGTTGTACCAAATTTTTCAATGTTTGCTTATTTAGTTATTTTTATGGAGCATTTTTTTATTCATTTTTGGAAGGAATCTACTGTTATCTGAAACTGAACGTATCACAAAGACATGTGATAAGTGGGAGAATATATTAATGGAGATTGAATCTGACGAGGATGTTAATGTAAAAATACATGATACAATTTTGGTGAGAAAATGTTTCATTGAATAGTTAGTGATTTGTATAACTCTCCCTTTTATCTAAGGAAGTACACACCTGAGAAGTTTGAAATATTTTTGTTTGAATGAAAAAAATTCCAATGTGTCAAATAATATATCTCCAAAAGAGAACATAAGTAATTCTATTTAATCTTCTACTTTATATTGTAATTTTAACCGAAATAGCGCTGTTCAGATTTGAATTTCATTGAAAGGAAAATTGACAGTATTATAAATGATGATATTACTAAATGATTCCTGATTTCATTCACAGAGTATATTACATATCTCTTTTTAGAAATATTAATTTAAAATATTTTGAATAATGAATTGTTTTGTGAATTAATATTTTATTTTATGTATTCAATAATATCTGTTATAAACTATCTTTCACAAATTTTATGATAACATTATATTGTTCAGGGTGACATGAGAACAACTGTCGGCCAGGGAAGATTAATAATGCGAGAACGTTTTCATCAATTTAGTGGCCTGGTTGACAATTGTGAGTTTGGAACAAGTGAAAAACCAGTGACCTGTCAGGATTTGCAGGGATTTTGGGACATGATATATTTCCAGGTTTTTGTTTTCTACTGAACAAAATACCTTCTTATTTTAACATTATTATATTCCATGTTAATTTGGTAATGGTATCTGTAGGTAAGACTTCATTATTTGAACTAAATACTAAAATGACTCGTGAAATGGGCATTCAGTTTAAATTTCTTTATTATAAAAACAATAAGTTTAAACCATTAATTGAATTTTTTTACAAAGCCCCTGTCACTATAATTCGATTTGAAAATTAAAATATGATCCAATAAATTATTGTGAAGAATAATCATCAAATAGTCAACCAATTTAGTCAATAAGAGAGCAATTCTGAAAAGATCGGCTGACAAACAAAATGAAAGCATCTGATCGATTTGAAATAAAAGCGATCTCATGTAATTGAAATAAAACAGTGAAGTTTTTAGTGAAAAAATAGGGTTTGAAAGGATTAATTGGGTGAAAAGAGAATATTAGTAATAGCCTCATTGCGACTTCTTTCAACTTTATTACTGAACATTGAAATTGATTGAAAAAAGACAATTTTCCCATGAATAAAAACAAGTATTTATTGAAATTCTCCATAGGTCCACATTGTGTCCGATAATATTATATAGTATGTTAGCAAAGATAGATTTATAGCCAAAAAAGTTTGGTTGGAATCTATGTGGCTCATGGCAAACAATTCATTTTCAAGGTTGAAGACGTTGATGCAAAATTTGAATTATTGAATAAATGTCAGGCTGCTGACTGGGATTCAAATATTCTAGCTAAACCTGTATGCAAAAAAAACATCAAAAAAATTGTTAAAAGAAAGACCAACAAGAAAGGTAATGTGTGTCTGGATCAACGATTTTACTCCTTCTAACCCAGTGAAATAGGATGGTATAATTTTTGTGACATTACTATAAGATTTAAATTGGCATGTCAGTCGGTGTGAATGATCATTGATTTGAAACTGAGAATCTCTGGTGTGTTCAGTAAGGCAAGGATTAAAAATGATGAATAATAAAATTTTAACCCACTTAATCACTAATTCACCTCACGGCCACGAAATTACAGAGACAAAAGATTGTCTTGTCCTTGCAGTTTTATAATGATAATTACTGATGTGATGGAGGCCATGAAATTTCTGTCAATTAAAAGTATATTGAGATTGCTACAGTTTTATTAATATATATTTATATTTTGATTAGTTGAGTGTAATTTGTTGTGAAGAGTAGAACTATGTGGATCAACAATGTTTTGAATGTTTAGTTCCATTACTACAATTTGTTCTTTATTTCATATCCGGTTTTCAGATGATTCAAAGAAGTCTGAAATTGCTAAGAAAAGAAGAGAGGATTTCGCCAAGAAACGAGCTGAAGCAAGGAAAAGACTTGCAGTTGCCAAAGCTGGAATGATGCAAGCACAACAACAAGAAAACACTGGCGATAATAATGCTAAACTAGAAAAAGAAAGAGTCACATTTGATGCTGGTTTCTTCAAGGTAGGAGATTTTATAAACTCAAGACTTTGAGGGTGTTCTGAGCAGTTTATCCAGCGTTGGGTTATCACATAAACTGCTCATAATGACCCTCAAAGTCTTGAATTTTTTATATGTTGAAACATTATGTTATTCTCTGAGGTATTGAGAATTCAAAAATCTATCCAAATATGAAATATATTATATCTACAAAATCAACCAACACTCTGGAATACCAAGGTGTTGAATATGAATTATGAAAATTCCGAATTACATACACACATTTTCCTCCTTTTTATTACAGGTCGATAGTCCTCTTAAAAGCCCCCACCTCAAAGTTCAAACCCCTGCTGGTAAGAGACTAACACCTCATAGCACTAGCATGCAAAAGCAGACATGCACCCCAGGTAGTATAACAAAATCATTGTCATTGAATTCTGCTGCCAAGACATCTCCTTTAGTGCTGGAGAATTCTACCATGCAGAACGGTGAAAACTTCAAAAAAATTAATAATTCTGCATCGAATTTGACCAAGCCTGAGATCTCAAAAAGGCTCGAATTTGTTGGCAACAACACTTGTACAGAATTCTGTAAACCTGACGAAGACTGCATTGTGGAAATCTTGATGGATGATCCGGAACAAAGTTGCGAAGATTCTAAGTTGGATGTAGATGGCATGTTACCAGAGTCAGAAAATATAACCAACATTCATGCCGAAAACGTAGCAGCGTCATTAAATCACACAGAAAGTTTTGAAATCATTGAAAATATCGTCGATGGAAGTAATAATGATAACTGTGAGCAAAGCAGTTTGAAACCAGATCTTGATTCTCAAATTTGTGCAAATGTGCAGCCAGAATCACATGAAAAAATTAAACTGACTTTTACTACAGACAATGTGCATTGTGATGTAAATGAAGACAGTCCCACACCATCGCAACGTACTATAGAAGAAGCTTCTTCAGAAATTCAAGTGCCTGAGAAATTCTCACACTTTAATTCGCCACTCGCAAGTAATTTATCAGAAACGGATACCTTGTTAATTAGTATTTCACCACCAACACCTTTCTGTAATGCTTCTGAAAAACATAATAACGAAAACACATCCGACAATACTTCAAAATTTTCTATGCTTTCTGATACAAATGAGCAAGATGACAATTCAACCAAGTCATGTCAAGAGGTGTCTATATCTCTACCCAATAATGATAACTTGACAGAAATGAATGAGGTAGATCAAAAAGATATGTTAGACTCTTCAACTGCACAACCGGTTTTGTCCGGTGGGAACTTGTTTTCTCCTTTTCCACAAGATATAACAAGTGATAACGTGAATGAAGAAGCTTCAAATTTATCGATTTTTATTGACGAAGCGACTAAGAACATAGAGAAGATGTCAGAAATTTTATGTCCTATTGCTGAGACTCCACTAAGGCCACCACAGTTTGGTAAACATGCAGAATTCCTAGATTGCAGTAACAGGGTTGCTAATACTCCAGAACTTGCTACTCAACAGGACGTCAAGAATGAAATATCTCGTGAGTGTTATTCAAATTCTTTCCGAATTATATTGAACCACACTTAATATTTCTGAAATGTCCATTGACGTCTGGTTTTCTGTTTCCTTATTTTCTTCTGAAACATCGAAATTCCTTTTTGTTGAGGAAAGCATATAGAGTGTCTTCTCTGTTAGGTTTCACAAATTGAATTTTTCATTCTCTGGTACAAAAATTTGTTTGATGTCATAACTAGTCCTGTGCACTTGAAATATATAATTCTGTGTTTGAGAGTCACAGAAGAGTAAAGCAAATCCAGTTATCGAAACCTTTAGGATTTAATGTTCTGAATTGTCCATCCTTAACCCTAATGTTCTGTAATATTTTTGTTGGGAATTTATACAATTGAAGTTTTTTTTCATATTTTGTTTTTTCTAGCTAACAAAGCAACTTTGCAGGCTGTTCTCTTGGAAACAATGGATAAAATGAAATTTCAAATGGAAACTTTGCAAAAACTAAATCTTAATTACTTGAGATCTCCAAACAAAGAATTGGAACAGGTTGGTTTCTTATGAAACTTCGAGTCAACCTTGAATTTCAGCTTCTGTAGATTTTAGGATGCAGCAGTTTCAATTACGGGAATGTGCATATCAATATTAAAGAGATTTTTAGTGAGAAATGAAGTCTTAAATGATACTTTATATCTTCGAGATTAGTCTTGGCACATCACATGTTAACAATTTTTTTGTTTTATTTATGATTTACTTTGGCTCTTGTAATTTATTCATTCAATTTCCAGCTTCAAATGAAGGTTGATTCCTTGCAATCTGAGAAATGCATTCTTCAAAAACAATTAGAAGATGAAAAGAATCTAAAAAAGGAAAACCAACCACATCAGAATACATTAAGTGATTCTGACAATATCAGAAGACTGGTTTTCCAAACACAGGGTAAACAAAGAATTAGATGTTCAATACATGTACAATTAGAGCATATTTTTATATGCATAACGTAACTTAATATCCAAGGAGGCCATTGAGATTATTTTATCAATACATTGGAATATATAAGTATAGAACATGGCAATACTTTATTGAATATCCAAGCTATATTAGATGAACACACAAAAAGGGTACTGCTGTAGTGTGTGTACTAGGTTAGGGTTGGGGCATAATTTTATTCAGGTTTTCTTTATTTTAGTCCTATTACGAGTTCGGGGACTGTCTGTGTTAGCCCAGTGAATATACCCCCTGCCCATAGTTTTTCAGTCCCTTTTACACAACTTGATGTAAAGTAGGTGAACAAAACTTCATATTGGTACACACACTTCTGGAGCGCCAAAAGTGATTGTCATTGAAAGAAAGATCTGTACTAGGATATTTTACCATATCTATTGGAAATTGATATTCCACAACAGTTACTGTGCAATGTTTCTTAATTTCATATTTAGAATTTTTTTTGTTTAAATCGAACCTTGAAAATTCTCGCTATTCTAAATGCACAAACAAAAATGCTATTGAAAAGAATGCTCAGATCTGGAACTAGGATTTTTCTAATGTGGTGTTATTAGTAATTGATATTTCAGTACAGTTACAACATATAATAATTTAATGTTACAGTTACAACTTACAATATAATGTTCAAATTGAAACAATTTGTTCATAACATGGATTTTATTCGAATTATTCATTTTTCACAGATGAACTCAATCCAGAGGATGAGTCAAATGACATATTGTACAAGCCACATTATTTCAGATTGTTGGCAAGAGTGAAAGTACTTGAAACTGAATTGAAAGTGTTCAATGATTTACAACCGGATTTATTAGAAATAAAACCGAAAATAGTAAGCTTTTTCAAGTTTTTTTCCATTGCAGACTGTAACAGTTTTCGGACGAAATGTAAATATTTTTTATGTAAATTTGTTTGAGGTAGGCTGTGGGCTCATCAAAACCAAAAAGATTACTGATAGTGAAGTTACGAGTGGCCACTGACAGTGACACACTATGAAGCACAAAGTTTAAAGTGCTATCTTTTTCAAATTCAATTTGTTAGACCAACACATATCAGAAACTTTGTAAAAAAGAAGATGACTTGAAACATTATAGTGATGCCGTGAAGAAACATGATGAAGATCTCAGGAAATCACTTGAAGATGACAATAAAGTGAACTTTTTATCACTTATATTTTGTTCTGATCGATTCTGATGATTGTTCTTGTTCTGACGTCCTTTCGGAGCAAGTCTCATTCATCGTTCGTCTATTGGGCCATTCAGCATTCCGATCTAAATTTCATAAAAAAAAAAAAATTTATTCTTACATTTGCAGTATGTGTGTCAAATTTTACAAAGCTTAAATATTTTGAGTTCAAAACGAATTTTAGGATGTTAACCTAATCAAATATAAGCAGCATAAATAGCGTCTAGTTTTTTCGATCTTGTTCTTTGTGTTATAGGAATTGATAGTATCTAGAAAAACAATAGAAGAATTGAAGCTTGAACTTGATGCAGCAACTGAAAAACTTTTTGAAACGAAAAAATTAGCAGAAGAATATTCTTCAAGTATAGAATCTGTTCAACATCAGTTTGATTCTATAAAAACTGAAAAAGATAAAGTGGATACTGCTTTAATAGGATTGAGTAAAGGTGAATATTTTAAGAATTTTCTCATAAAAATAATTTTCAGATAACTCATCTTTGTTGGCATGTAAGATTAGCATTTTTTGGCCCTAATCAATATTTGTCAGTGGTGACTTAGGGTAGAAAAAAATATAAGAAAAGATCCATTACTTCATGCATTAGTATTTTTATGCTTTTGTGCTGGTAAATCAATCTTTGAACGCTAATAAGAAAGAAATTCTATCTCCTTGAATGGTCCAGTTAGACACCATAAGATTAGATGTGGATGGTAGTGCCTCTTAACGTTTTCTTACAGTAAATTTATTTTTCCTGCCTGCCCAGTCACATATGAGTGAGAAGAACTCGTTTGGGGGTAATTACCTCCGTTTTTATGATGCAATGTGTAGATGCTGACTGTGTGACAGCATCGAATGAATTGTTTTCTCCCTGCCCCCCTCTAGTGACCATTTTGTAGAAGATTGTTTGAATCCTTTTCAGGTTTAAGTTTTCAAATTTTTTCAGCAAATTTGGTAAGAAGAATTGGTCTCCTCAAAGTCTTCATAATTACGAACTTTCCATGAGTTTTTGTTTGAATGTATAGTCCAAATGTTTGTAATCTGCATATTTTAATATTTAATTGTGTTTCAAAATAATGTACGTTGTACTATTTCCAAAGAAAACACTTCACATGCGGAGGAAAATACTGTTTTGCAAGAAAAACTTGATACGCTGTCAAAGCAGCTTGAGGAACAAACTTTAAAATCTGAGTTTCTTGAAGGAAAACTAGGACATGTTGGAAAAGAAGTTGAATCTGCATTCACAGAATTCAATTCAGTTATCCAGGTAAAAAAAGCATTCTGTGAATTGATAGTATCATAATAAGTAAAAATATGACATGAATTCAAATTTCTCTGTCATTATCTTTAACTGTTTTAATTAGGGGCAAGGACTTTGCTTTGAACAAACTGCCTTTAAAATATATTAACAAGTTTGTTCCAATGTTATTTGGGTTCTTCACTTTTCCTTATCTATAATCTATTTACCCTAGGGTTAAAGGGTTAAGCTACCTACTTATTAAATCAGTATTCAATTTCGCAAGTATGGGAATATTAAGTAATTTTATTACTTTTATTCCACAGAAACGGGATGAATTTATTAAATGTCAACAAAAACAAGTTGAAGAGTTAACAGACACAAACAATAAACTCTGTCAAGATTGTAAATCTTTACAGGATAAGATTGAAACATTAGAGGTATGTATTATTCTCTATAACAGGGGCCAGCGTGCCGAATGCGGCCCACAAATCAAGTTTTTGGGGCTCTCGAATGACCTTATTTCAGTGCATAAAAACAAATTTATGTTGTAACAATGGCTGTTGAACAGTGTTTGCGTAATTAGCGTGTTAGTTAGGACATGTTAGTGTGTGTTTTTGTGTTGTTCACTTGCCGAACTTGCTTTCTGTTAGTTGTAAATATTAGTATTTTTAGTATTTTTCTTGTAGACAAAATGTAGAAATACAGTAAATTGGCAGTGTCTCAAGAATATCATGTCACACTTTCCCCATGTGTCCTACTCGTTCTACTCGTCTCACTTACTCTACATATCCCACTACTTGCTCCACGTATCCTACTTGTTCCAAGGTTGTGAAAATTGGTATATAGCGATTGAATTAAAGTATTGTATTTACTATTTATAAAAAAATATTTCCTGATAATTCAAAAATTTGAATGGGGGTACATGGATTCAGATATACCGATACCACTTTTATTGCCAATGCCGGTACCGACAAGAGGAACGTGAAATTTTTGACATATTCATAAATTAGCATAAATTTGTTTGGTCGCACAAATGTCTTCGCAAAAGGTTTAATCATGCAGCAGAGAAAGTAGAAACTACAAATTTGTTTTCTTTTATTTCAGTATGTTGAAGAAGAAATGAGACTTGTACAAGAACAACTTTCAGAAACAGAACAATCTCTAGAAATTTCAAAAAATGAACAATCAAGACTTGACATCTTGACACAAGATTTGAAATCTGAAGTTGAAACTTTGAATAAAACTATTGAAAAACAGCAGTAAGGAACATTTTAAGTTGTTATATTAAATATAACAGTGCTTTGCTTTCCAACCTTTTTCAGTTCACGACCCACTTTCATTGCTATTTTTTCTGTGCCAAACACAATGAGATGTTAATATATGAGAGAAGAAACAATGTATCCCCATGCATTTTACTAAAATACGAAACTAGATTTTGCATATTGGATATTATCGGATCAAGTCGGATAATGATGCGTAATTCTATCGTTACATTGTTATAATTTCACAATTTCACAATCTAATTGAAAACTGTGTGTAACTGTATTTGGAAATACTTATAATAATACCCATGGTGGGTCGTGGTTCGCAACCCCCTGAGTTGGGATGCACTGGAATATAAATTATTTCTAAATGTATCAAACACAACTATAAACCCATTATAAAGATTACTGATTATTTATAGTTATAGATCAGGACTTAATATGTATAAGACCTGCCACAGTGTAACTAAATTAGATTATGTCACATTTTCAAGTTTTTGAAGAAATCACATTTTTGTAATAGTTTGGTCCTATCAGCCAAAAATGGACATAGGATATGACACAACATAACATACAGTCAAACCTAAAACTGGTACAACTTTGAAACCCAGACCAAAAGATGGCCCCATGCCCATAATGATGGAAGATCGAATATTTCATTTCGAAAAATTGCGTCATAAGCTACTTTGATTTGACGATATGTAAGGTGCCATACTGCCACTAATTATTATTTGGAAGAACCAGAATTTATTTGATTTGGCATTGGTGAGGTGCATGCGATTTGAACCTATTTAATATGTTTAATCTACGATTGGCAACACTGTGAGGTCAAGTCTTTGATCGCTAGGCTTTCGCGACATAATCCATTATATTCCTTTTCTATAAGATCAGAATATGGAAATCTTCAAGAAGAACTTGATGTTTCGAAAGCAGAAGCTCATTTTATGGTTCAACAACGTGAAGAAGAACTTGGATACGGAAACTCTGGAATGAAGCATATATTGACCATGATGCATGAACTACATTCTAGACTTTGTGGAATGATCAGACCGGAAATTGAGCATAAAAGTAAGGATTTAAGTCCCTAAGATAGTTTGAAGGTGATAGAATAGTTAATAAGGACTCAATACTGTTGCTTTTGCTGGTTAAAAATCTCAGGTTTGAAAAACAAGTCCACCACCTCACTTGGCTGTTTTCCTGATTATGACTATTTGATCAAGTTTCGCCGATTCTTCCTCATAAATCTTCATAGTTTTAATAGTCCCTCAAAACTTTGCTCAGCAATGAGTTCTTAACATCTGATTCAGTGCATGTGACTAAAAATAAATAATACTTACAGTTACAATACATAGTAGGCTTCTGCTTATTCATGGCTGCTTATGTAGATTTATGCTATACAACGTTATGTTCGACACCTAAATTTCCTCAGACGATACCTTCTGTTATTTGCATAGCATTGCATTGCACAACCGATATGAAAATTGTTAATATGAGTTGTATTTTCATGTAATTTCAATAATAACTTTTAACACTATCTTAGGTAAAAGTGACTACATGACTTGTCCTGATGATGTAATGATGACGCCATATGTTCGTCCACCAAAAGATTTGATTGTTGATACTGTTCTTCGCTCAAATGTAAGTACCATAGATATGATATTACTTTCCTGCAGCTTTATTCAAATTTGAGATATGATTTATACCCGATGGAAATTCAGTATTTCATTACATGTTGATTGATGATTCTTATGAATTAGTTAATTTTTTATACCAAAAATATGGCTTAAGGGAACTAAAAACATACCATAACCTAAACACAAGATCATGCAACAGAATTAGATAGTTGCAGATTACAGCCGCACTCAATTTAGCCGCGTTATTATACTCGTAACAGCTCGTAACTATTGCAGTGATACGAATGCAGTCCCTTGTCATTCGACAATAATCAGTGATTACAACACGATGAACAATAATGTAATATTGACAAGATATAACCAAAGGAATTTGAAGTGTAGCACATGGATACAGAAATAACCCAACATGACAATTCTTATGTATTGTTTTCACAAGTTTACTGATATGCATGATATAATATTTTTTTTTTCGTCAATTTATACTCTTGTTGTAATGTCACAGGTGTCTCAAGACAACAAAAAACTAAAAGCTGACACACTTGATAATCAACCAACTCGTGAAGGGGATGCCATAAATGGGTGAAGTTACTTTATTCTGAATTTTCATATTTATGGGTTTTCTAATCAATTCTAATATTCACTTAAATGTGGTATTAGTAATTCTAGGATCAGTTACTTAAACAAACATGAAAAAATGTTTGTATTTTTTCAAAATGCATTCAACCATACTCAACTTTGTATGCACAGATAGTTTATTTTTAATCTCAATTAATGATATCACAGAACCTACATGACGTTACGCCTATTCTTAACAATATATTTTCAATACTCGTATAAAGGTCACCTATCCCAAAGGATAAAGATTCCATTATAGCAAGGGTTGACGAAGGTGCTGAAGTATTTCAATCAATCATAAATGCATGTGCAGAAGTTCAACTTCAATTTCAGAAAGATATTGAAAACCTGGAATTCAGAAAGTAAATACCTTGCTTGGTATATTACTATATAATGGGTACTATCGTAGTGTGTGTAACAGGTTTAGTTAGGGTTGGGCCATAATTTTATTCCGATTTTCGGACCTCCTGAAGTATGCGCACCAAGATGGCGCACAACCTGAACTCAGGTATATATATATTGAGAGTGATTGATGGATAATGGAGTGACACAAAAATGGATGCGTACTAAATTTTTAACTGAGCATCAAATTCAAAGCCCCAGATTCAAGTATTGAAAACACCAGAAACTCGGCTTGGTGATGGGTTGTATGGTTATTCTAAGGATCCTCTCACTTTGACCAGGACTAGTTTACACTGCATTCTAGGTTGTGAAACTAAATATTTGTTTCATATCCGGGTCGTAAATCTCACTCAAAATCACGATTGACTGCCATTGACATGTTGGCCAACCCTGCCTTTTTGCTTTCAATGAGATATCTGTACAAATATTGTTGAATGGTATTGTTCATGTGTTCATGTTGACAATATTTTTTTTTGTTATTTCTAGCTCTGTGCTTGTGAAACAGCTAGCATCAACGAAAGAAAAATTGTTTGATTTCAATAAAGAAGAGAATGAGCTCGAGCAAATGCTGAGAAAGAGAATAGAGAAGCTAATGAAAGAGGGAGAAGAGAAATCAAATAAAATTCAAGAAAACTCTGATCTTCTGAGAATGCTCTCTGATCAAAATATGGAACTTTCAAAATATAAAGTCAAATATGAGGTTGGTTTTATTTTGCATGCCCCTTTAACAGAATGAAATATGAGCAGAAATTTTTGATGCTTTTAGCATAATTTTACTTCTTTTTTCAACCATCTATTCTAGGCATCGTCTTAATGACAATGATAGTGTTCCTGCACCTTAGGCAGTCAAAATATCTGAATATTTATCTAATCAGTGGTGTTGAATCTTGTTACGACCATCTTGGTTGTATTGTTATTAGGAATGCGCCAAGATTTGGATTCGAGATGAATCCATGGATTTATTGTACTTAGATTCGGATTTGACATCATTGAAGGAAATTTTTTTGACCTCTTCTCACAACTCTGAAAAAAAAATTTTGACCCGAAAAAACTTTGGTGGTGTAAGCCACTGGCCAGTCTTCTTTGATTGTTTTTGAGAGTCAAGTTATTACTATTTTAAGCTTTCGAAATTTTTTTTTCCAATCTTGAAATTTTTGAACCCACTCAATATTAAAATAACAATTTCAATAACTAAGACTTCAACTACACAACTCATATTTCATCAGTCATGCAGACCATTTAAACATGTTGACTATGGGGTCCAAATGGGGTCTATTCTAAATGGAATTTTTATTTTCTGAATAACAGGAATTGTTTGGTGAATTCAAAACATCAAAGAGACATCGTCAAACTAAAAGAAGAAGTTCATCAGCTGGAAGTTTGAAATTTCTTTCGTAATTAAGCTTTTTTTTTTTTATTTGGTATGGGTTTTCATTTGTAGATGATAAAAGTATGGCTTAATGGCCTGTCCTTTGGTGGTGTTTTGTCTTTACTCTTCTTTCATTGTTATTAATTACCGCAACCATTTGTGGAATGTAGGATGACATGTTTTCTGCAATTGAATTCTAGGTACGTAGTGTGTGTACCAGGTTAGGGTTAGGCCATAATTTTATTTTGATTTTCCTTGCTTTAGTTCTATTACGAGTTGGGGACTGTCTGTGTTAACCGAGTGAATATACCCCCTGCCCATATATTTCAGTCCCTTTCACAACTTGATGTAAAGTAGGTGAACCAAATTAGTTACTTCCATATTGTGTAATACTAATTATTAAGCATTATTTTTGACTGCCCTAATTGTGTGTGCTGATGCCTTCTATTTTATATATTTTGACAACATTGCTTATTTTCAATCATTGCTTTCGTGTATGTCATAGGTTTGATGGTTGATAGTTTGCTTGCTTTATTACTAATCTTACTATTTCTATCAGAAATGATGTTCCTTATATGTAATTCTGTGATAGATGTTATCGTTGTTCACTTGGTTTTGATAATTTAAAATTGTTGCTTTGTGTGATTGCTACATTTGTCATAGTCATAGCTATTTGTTTTCTTCATTTTTTTTTCATTGGGTTTCTCTTGTGATCCAGTGATTTTTTGGAGACTATCTAACTTGGGGAAAAGGCGACCTTGCGGTTTTTTCTTCTAAAAAATTGTTTATGGTTCAAACCCCACCAGGTTGTCCATGTCTTTTGCAATTCTGAAAATAAAAAAATATTCTAGTGTGACCAGTGGAGTGTTTTTACATCAGGTATATGTTCAGAGTGACGTTAAACAAGGTGTAATGTCATGGCCATAGTCCGATGTTAAATATGGAGAGAACTTTCTCACTCGCCCCTATAGTATGATAGTGGTTAAAGGGGGCAACGGTATCTTTGTTTTTTTCATATTCGCAAGAATTCACTCTCGGGGGGAACGTATTATTGCGACTATGGACTTCAAATGAAGGTTGCTGATCCTCGCTATAAATGACTCCGTTAGAATCTAATGAGGGTACGTGCCAAATATTTCAAAATAATCTTGTCGCGTGCCACGCACAGTTGTGGTATTGTAAATTAACTCCGTAAAACAAACAAATTGCAATAACAATACATGATAACGGATATCTATTTATTGAAACAATTTATTGTCCTGAAAAAAACTGCTGTTTTTGATATAAACGTGATATTTTAATGTATATCATAAATATTTCTTTATTTTACAAAACCGTTCGCGTGCCGCGTTTGGCGTGCCAAATTTGGCACGCGTGCCTCGTGTTGTGCACCCCTGCGTTAGATAATTCGCACGGTGGTTGGAGTGAACAACGGTCGACGTGAAAATGGATCATTTCCCTGGATAATTGTTTCGTTTAACCATACTTTCTTCCGCTGGGGAAAATTTTTTGTATTACCCCCTTAGAATTAAAACTTTTGGTCTGAGAACCAAGGCCTGGCATTTTTATTACCGTTTATATATATATTAAGGATAAACAATAGCGAGAGCAGGACAACGCAATGGAATACTTGGGGCATAAATGCATTGAAAAGCGGATTGTTTCACTTTGCTATGGGATGTTCACTGTACGGCTATATAGTTTAGTTAAACAATAACCTTTGCATAAACATTTAAATAAATGAGTGTAAACGTGAAGGGCAAAGGTGACTGCGTGCAGAGGGAAGAAATATCTTTACCACCCGCAAGCCCTAGTCTAGTGACTTCTTTACCCGTCTTTTAATACGTGTTTCTTGAAGCACCAACATTATTGCAAAAAGCGATTGGAATTTTGAGTAACCTTTTGCGTTACACCTATATATATCGAGCGAGTAAAATTTCACGAAATCAAAAAAGCCATTGCTATTAGAATTCATCAATATATTTTTATAAAATCATCGCTTGTATATTGTCACACTTTGTCACGAGTTATTTTCTTAGTGAAAACTCTCGAACTAATATTTCTTTTTGTAATAGATTTCCGACTCGTATTAGCGGAAAACCTGGATGATTCTCCTGAGGTAGCGCTATCATAACCCGAGTCGGTGGAGTATTCCTTTTTAATCTTCGCCTCTTGTATCGAAAGCGCGCTGCTCTTTATATTTCCGAAAGATGGGTCCATCCAAGAATGCGCACATATTTGTTGCAAACTGTACCTTTCATCGGAAATGTGATTCAAAATCCCAGCCACCAAGTCTTTATAAGGTTCACTAAGCTTTTCGGCAACTTTCGGAGGATATCGCGGAGGCAGCATTTGATCATGAATTAATGTTGATCTATTCCGATCTCGGAAAGGCATGACACAGCAGGCCATGATGTACAGGATTACACCCATGCTCCACAAGTCCGCGTTTCTTCCTTCGTAAGCAATCCCTTTAATCACCTCTGGTGCTGCATAAGCTGCACTTCCGCAGAACGTTTTGCTCAATTCCGAATTTCCTATTTCGCGAGCAAATCCAAAATCGGCAATTTTTATTTCATTGTTATTGCCGAGAAGTATATTTTCACACTTCAAGTCTCGGTGGACCACTCCCCTTTCATGAAGGTATGAAATTCCATCGCAAATTGCAGTGAATAATTTTCGCGTCTCGCCTTCTTCAAGAGGACCCCGAAGCTGAACAAATTCCAGTAAATCGCCGTGCCCAGCAAATTCAAGGCATATATACGTTTTATTTTTTATATTGAAAGCATTATACATTTGAATAATATTAGGATGCTTAAGTCCATTTAAAATCTTCAGCTCGCGAGGCAGAAACTTTTTCTTGAACTCAACCGGGGCTGTTGCCCTATTAATAACTTTGAGGGCGACGCGGATAGACTCGTCATTATTTTCAGACTTCCAAATTGCAGACTTAACGTGGGAATAGCTTCCCTCGCCTATCTGTTTCTCTGGCGTAATTCCTAACTTTACCAATTCAACAACTTCATCTTCTTTATTGCCCGCCAACGAGGCATCCATGTATGGAAGAAGATGAGAATCCTACTCAATAAAACATAAATTTATATATTCGACATACTAACGCTAGATTGAGTCAAACCTAGTAGAATATATAATTACGGTCAAACCGAATGATTTTGAACATTTCATAAACTACTTTTAGCATTGTTATCTCACAATTATTACGAATGAGAGAGTGATGCTCAAATATATTGACACGAAAACGAAGCGGCACGGGTATGCAACCTGGTCGATAGATAGTTTATTTTGAAAACTCCATAATAAACAATAATTAAAATGCGAAATTCTGGAGAAAAGCGAAACCTTAAAAAAGTTGAGAAATATCATCACAAAAACATAAACCCAGTTGAAACGAGGCTTGGGCCATAAATAAACAAACAAACCCGGAAATTTATTGAACTTTCGGGCTGTTGTACTTCTAAATTCAATAATGACCAATTCAATTATTGTATACAGTTATTCTAGAGAAAGACATACAGCATAAAAATGTGATTAAACACTACCGAGTATATCGGTCAGGTACCGAAGACTTATCGATCGAAAGTTAGGGGATCCCCAAAACAGCGCTCTTACTCCATAGTGAAACCTTGTGTTCCATCACTAATTAATTAATACCTCGCTAATTATACGACATAATTCGCCCAAAATCAATAGGCTACTGGTCCGAAATATGATGAATGCACATGCAAAATCTGCAGCAGATCCAATTTCACTTTCGGGAGATATCGCGTGCATGTAACAGACAAGCAAACAGACAGACAAACAGACAAATACCTATCAACATACTTACCGATTAAAATCGATAAGTAATAACACTAAGACTAAATTATATTATAACCTAACATTTAACAATTACCCGTTTGTTGAGCCAATAATTCAATTATAATTAGGCTTACCATAAATCTGAAACAAAAAACCGGGACGGTGCGATTTGGCAAACATTCGGTCGATTGCCAGTCTTGATAATATTGGAACGTCTACCATGCCATTGCGGGTATATACGGCTGTGAATCTCTACTGATCATTGAATTAGAAAAAAGACAAAAAATTAGTTTGTATTATTCATTTAGACCAAAAGTATTAGTCCGCAGATGGAACCATTCTCAAAAATTCTTGTTTTGATTTTGTCATAAAACTGATAACAAGAGACATCACCATTAAATTTGCAGGTTACGGAGTGGTTTTATATTTTCTTCTGGCATTCTGCACCTGCTTTCGGACCAAAATTTTTTAACAATGGAAAAAATCTTTTTAACAGATGCCGATGTTCCGAAAAACAAAATCAACCAATTTGCTGCAAATTCGAAATGCTAATATTTCTGTTAGAAAAAACGTTAAACATCTCTGTCCACTTAATTTCAACCGGCAAAGTAAGTCAAACTGCATTTGAACCATGCTCAGATAAATATCTCTTTATCAGTATTCGTCGAAAAGTGCATCGCTATTCAAAACCTGATCAGCTAACCACCAAACACTTCAGTCCAGTTTATTTCACTCTTCAAATTTGTCAATATGTGTGGCCTGGCAGCATTGTAGGCTTCATCGTGCAGCTCTATGTACGATAGACATTTCTCGTAAAAATCGCAAAAATTCTTTTTAAATACAAATTTTTTCCCTGCAAATTTAGCTTCACCTCTGCCAGAATATTTGCAACATCTACGGCAGGGGTCGGCAACCTTTTGTCGCCCGCGGGCCAAAATTAAGGGTTGCGAGTCATTGGCGGGCCGCACATATTTTTAGAAAGTTGAAACTGAACGGATGATACTTTTTATATTAAAAATCAAGCAGTGATACATCTCTCGAATAGAATATAGATTTATTTCCTCATTGCATCTCAAAAAATCCATTTGAATATTTTCAGCGCCATTGAACCCCTTGCACTTAGCATCAACTTTTCTGCGTTTTGTTGCCATTCGAGCTTGAAGTAAATCATCATTAAATTTAGAGGAGAACAGCGGAGCAATGCACCAACTCTCATTTATTTCAGGCTAAACGTGCAAAATTGGTCATGAATAGCAGTGTGATAGGTAAATGTCGGCTCCCAACGACACAGAATCATCCGAATTTGTTATCGCAAAATTGGTCAGTCGAGTCGATGCCTCAATGTTTTGTGCTTCCTACTTTGGATATGATCGTTGACATCTGAACGTCCGCCATGACTAATAGAAAAACAGATCTGCAATGCGTACAGTGTACCTTTCCTCCTTCAGTTTGCTTCAAATAAGGAAAATCTTTCTTCAACTCATCAGAAAACTTGTACTTTCTTTTTGGCATTTCGACAACTTAACGACATTGCAGTTAACGCCAGAAAACTCATTAAAACATATACCAATTGTGACATAACAATAGAGCGATTTCTCTGTGTGTCGCAAAACAGTGGTAAATGGGCTGTCACCGTTAAGAAAAAATTTGTAATAATAATGAATTTGAATTTTTTACCCATGAAAGCCGTGCTGACAAACCGGGACATTTGAGTCAACCGGCCGGGACGCCGGGACAGCTTGTCAAAACCGGGACTGTCCCGGCTAAACCGGGACGTATGGTAAGCCTAATTATAATTAGACATATGGCAACAAAACGCAGAAAAGTTGATGCTAAGTGCAAAGGGTTCAATGCATTAGTGGGATTCAAATTTTTCGTCAGTCGGTTCCTTCACAAAAGTCATATTTTTCAGTTAGTTCAGTTAGTTCAGTTAGTTTCAGTTCAGTCTGTTACAAACAGAACATTGACATCAATCAGTAATTCTAACCGGTTCGATCTCATAAAATTCCGTGAGACGGTTCTATAGAACCGATGCGAACCGGCTGAATCCCACCACTGGGGATATTGGGCTCGATAGTTTATCTAAACATTTAGTGTTTCATTTTAATCCATGAGAACTTTTTATTCCATGAAGTATTACGTTTTTCCGTCGAATTCATCAGTATTCTTCTTCCGTATATAAGTTCACCTTATACTTCCTACATATCGGACTAATGAAAGATATATCTGGTGCTTGTTGTGATTATCTCAAATTTATGCTCACACGAAAAGTAAGAATTCATCGGGAGTCCTCGAACACTACATTCGGAGATTAACAAAATGTTCAGCAAAAATTGACTGCTCAGAATTTTAAGTAGGCCTACATGCTCTTTATGGTAGTGAACTCTCTAACAACAGGTCGTCCATTTTAAATGATTAAGCCGTTATATCGGCCCGGGAAGAATAATGTAATCCTATTCCATAAACTGCCGATTTACATAGAGTGAAAATTGTAAAATTCATCCATTGAAATTATAAAACGTTGTATTTGGAGCTGAATGAGTGAAAAAACTAATAATGTCTAATACAGTCCAAGGAAGAATTGAAAAAATGGCGGCGTCAAAAGTGCAATCATGTTGGGTTTTGTTGAAATGCTTTTCATCAAGTTTATTTTTTTTTCTGTAATTCTGTAATTTAGGCGCGGCGGTGTGGCTCAACGGGCTAAGCGTTAGGAATACGCTCGCCACCGCACCTCTAACTACTCTGCGTGGGTTCGCAGGTTCGAATCCCATGCAGGGATGGTAATGTGCGAGAGGATTGCTGGACTCCTCGTCGTCGTTGGGTGGTTCACGTAACCGCTGGTCGGTTACGGCTTCCTCCACCACCAAGTCCATCCTTCCGAAAACAAACAATACAGTAAATCTAATCCCATACCCGACTTGGAATGGTAACCGGACGAGAGGCCGTGGTTCGCCATATGGATAAGCCGTCTTATCGGCTTTCCTCTCCCACGGGATAAATATGTAAATCCTAAATCCTTCTCACCACGTTCGGCTTTAACCTTTAAATAGAACAATAATACCTAGGAATTTGATAGCAACACTAGAGCATTTCACCAAATCTGCATGGCTCGCATTTTTTCCGAAATATCTATACTCTATCAAAGACTATATTTATCACCCTTGAGTGGCTCGACCGTATAGGCACTGCATATGTACCTCCTATATTTCGCCCATTCATATTACCGGTATATGGTCCCACCACTCAAGGGTGCTGTATCTACGCCTAAATTTTTATTTTATCATTATGTAGGCTATATATGTATTTGGTGTATTGTGTTGTCCCTATTTATACATATTGTCTTGTCTTATAAACTCCCTTGTATAAACAGTTCTGTGTACTCCTCCCTTACCACTTTCGCCACACCAACCCATTGCCCCACCTTACACAAGTAGGCCGCGAGCCGAGGCCATTTATCTTTCAGTTTCGTAGCGCACATCAGGTAACTACCTGAAAATGATTTTAAAATGTTCCTTAGAAATTTAGTAACAAATATTGCCTTGTTCCCACTTCCAAAAGTTGCACGTTTTACAGAAAAGACGCTTTTACTACAATAAATATGTGTTACCATCTGTCCTATTTTCTCTGCTTTTCCGGTATCATGGGCCAATGAACGCAGACTTCTGCACGACGTAACAGTCAAGTTAGTCAGCTGTAGGTGGATCCCCAGTGGTCGGATGAATATCAGATGTACTCAACTGCTCGCTTTTGCGTTGAGTAGCCTTTCCATAGTTTTTTTCAGTTACCGGTAATATTAGTCCAGTTATTCCAAGGAGGTGTTGAAAGTGTTGAAAAGTATAGGTAAGATATTAAACACTTGTATATCCTTGCCATAAATAGCAATTTTAGTTGAGCACTAGCTCATAAGACGTTGTTAAATAGGTACGGTGCGGTAACTCCAAGGAAGGGTAGACCTAGAATAATATGTCACAAACAACGATATTTTCTGGCTTGCATGAAATGTTTATGATTAATTTAATGACTCTTCTTGACTATTCAGCAGACTTATACTACTATATAGGCCACAGAATATTTGGAAATAGAAATGAATGGCTGTTTCTGTAATGCACGGTTGTGTGAAAGAGAAGAAATTAATCAATTTTACTAATGTCGGTTGGTCTAAATCTAAATTCATAGAGTCGACAAGAACCTGGGAAGCAATGATAAGTTATGCCGGAGTGGAAAGAAAGGTAGCATTGGAAATGATTGAGAGGTGAGAAATGAAGTTGTAGACAAACAGTTGATGTTTCAAAATATAGTCTATAGTCCATACTCATACTGTCATAGGACAT